CTGTCAGGTATTCTCTGATCCATTGCAGTGCTCTTCCTGTTATATGCGCCTGATGCTCTAGCTTCTGCACTAATCTCTTGTGAGGAACTGTGTCAAAGGCCTTCTTGCAGTCCAAGAAGATGCAATCAACCCACCCCTTTCTCTCTTGTCTTACTTCTGTTATTTTATCGTAAAACTCCAGAAGGTTTGTGACACAGGATTTGCCTTCCCTGAATCCGTGCTGGTTGGCATTTATACTCCTGTTCCGTTCCAGGTGCTCCACCACTCTCCTCCTGATAATCTTCTCCATAATTTTGCATACTATACACGTCAATGACACAGGTCTATAGTTTAGTGCCTCTGTGTGTGTGTGTGTGTGTGTGTGTGTGTGTGTGTGTGTGTGTGTGTGTGTGTCTGTGTCTGTGTCTGTGTATGTGTGTGTGTGAGTGTGAATTAACATCTGGTTCAATAAGATATCAATACAACTAACTACAAGTCAGCAAACAAAAATTAATAAATCTTATGAGGAATAAAATCAATTCTCAGTATTTACACTCAGTGTGGAAAAGGCAGAGTCGATTTATTTGCAGAGATTTGTAATAGGTACTGTACTGTACTGCTTTGTAGTGTTGTTCTATATACTGTAGAATTTAGTGTGCACTGTTGTGTTACACTGTGTGTATTATTGTGGATGTACTTAGTCTAACTCTTGTTGCTGGTCTTAGAAAGTCACAGCAGTGAACAGCGTCTGGTGATGAAAATGATTAACAGCATGCTGGTGATGAGAATAATTAACAGCGTGCTGGTGATGAGAATGATTAACAGCGTGCTGGTGATGAGGATAATTAACAGCGTGCTGGTGATGAGGATAATTAACAGCGTGCTGGTGATGAGAATGATTAACAGCGTGCTGGTGATGAGAATGATTAACAGCGTGCTGGTGATGAGAATGATTAACAGCGTGCTGGTGATGAGGATAATTAACAGCGTGCTGGTGATGAGGATAATTAACAGCGAGCTGGTGATGAGAATGATTAACAGCGTGCTGGTGATGAGGATAATTAACAGCGTGCTGGTGATGAGGATAATTAACAGCGGTGCTGGTGATGAGAATGATTAACAGCGTGCTGGTGATGAGAATGATTAACAGCGTGCTGGTGATGAGAATGATTAACAGCGTGCTGGTGATGAGGATAATTAACAGCGTGCTGGTGATGAGAATGATTAACAGCGTGCTGGTGATGAGAATGATTAACAGCGTGCTGGTGATGAGGATAATTAACAGCGTGCTGGTGATGAGAATGATTAACAGCGTGCTGGTGATGAGAATGATTAACAGCGTGCTGTGATGAGGATAATTAACAGCGTGCTGGTGATGAGAATGATTAACAGCGTGCTGGTGATGAGAATGATTAACAGCGTGCTGGTGATGAGAATGATTAACAGCGTGCTGGTGATGAGGATAATTAACAGCGTGCTGGTGATGAGAATGATTAACAGCGTGCTGGTGATGAGAATGATTAACAGCGTGCTGGTGATGAGGATAATTAACAGCGTGCTAGTGATGAGGATAATTAACGGCGTGCTAGTGATGAGGATAATTAACAGCGTGCTGGTGATGAGGATAATTAACAGCGTGCTGGTGATGAGAATAATTAACAGTGTGCTGGTGATGAGAATGATTAACAGCGTGCTGGTGATGAGAATGATTAACAGCGTGCTGGTGATGAGGATAATTAACAGCGTGCTAGTGATGAGGATAATTAACAGCGTGCTGGTGATGAGAATAATTAACAGCGTGCTAGTGATGAGGATAATTAACAGCGTGCTGGTGATGAGGATAATTAACAGCGTGCTGGTGATGAGGATAATTAACAGCGTGCTGGTGATGAGAATAATTAACAGCTTGCTAGTGATGAGGATAATTAACAGCGTGCTGTTAATTATCCTCATCACCAGCACGCTGTTCACTGGTGATGAGGGTAAATTATCAGAATGTGGGTAAATTATTAGAATAACAAAAGATTCAATCTGAAATCGCCATGAAGAATAAGAAATTCTCTCGTAGACTGAGTCATAGCTTACTGATATTCAGTAGAAAGATTCCATTAATTGGGTCAAAACAGATTGAAACTCATTCACAAGCAGCCTTCCGCAAGGCTCAGTGTTGGGTCCCTTATTATTAACAACTTTTATTATCAAACTAGAGTGGAGAGGCAACGTGCCGACAAGTACATGATAAAGACACAGACAAAAATGTAATTCATTATTATTAACAGTATCGCTCAACAAGAGCTTTACAAAGTCACGATAAACAGCTTGAGTGAAACGGCTGAATTCCAATAGAAGTTCTCGCTGTTTCATGCGTGTTTTTCATTAACAATCAAAAATGATACCATAAGTAGCGGCATACAAAAGTGAATTTCATTTTGATTTAAATAAGTTGGTGCCGTCAAAAATGGGGCAGATGCGATTCAACACGTGTCAAGCGCATGGTTCTAATCCTAGGTAGAAAATGCCT